AAAGAATTGCTGAGGAGCATGTATCAGAAGCAGGAAGAATACAGTGAGTAGAACCTCCTTGGTTACTGTAAGGCCAACATAAATTATTCAGTAGAAATGGTGCTATTTGATATTACATATTTTTGCAAAACTGGGAACATCATTGTTATTAATAAGGACCAACCCTAAGGCAAATCCATGGGGTTTATTAATGGTATAATTTTGATTAATGTTGTCATGGTAGTAATGCAGTGGAACACCAATACCACCAACAAATTGCCTTTTTTTAAATACAGCTATACACCATACAAGGTCATAACATGGTTTCAAGGTTTTTGAATTAACTTTTGAACTCAACATACATGTACCTATCCCAATTTGATGAGTTATGTTAAATTTTGTTGTCTCAACAGTCATTTCTGTTACTGAGAGAAATCAATCAGCTATGCATCAACTATTATGCAGTATTTTAAACTAGGAAGGTGGCTAGGGAGTCAAATGATTTTGTTGTTTCTCTTAATAGTTATGACAAAGACAAGTATATGTTTTGTGAACAATCTTGTGATGTGTCCTTCCTGGACATCAAGTGGTGACCACTTATGAAAATGTGCCTGAAATTTGTCTATACAGCAGGTTATTGTTGCCCTAGCAACAATAACCAGGCAACATCATGCTTCTGATACATGGGTAATGCTAAAGCAACAATGAGTGTGGATTACATGTCCTCAGAACATTCAGTATCTGAGGACAATACACATGGGGAAGTAAGTAAGTAAGTAAGTAACTTTATTTAATGAGGGTAAAAACACTTTACAGTCATTGACTGATAAACTCGTGGCCCTCCTTTAAACAATTAAAATATAAATCACAATGAAGGGAATGGGGAAGCATTATCTTGCTATTCCATAAGCTTAGATCACTGCTCAATTTAATATGTCGAACACATCTTTGTTAACCTTACTTTGAAGTAAAAAGGGACAGAATACAGAAATAGATGATATTTTTATAGAAATGAGATAGTTGCCTCTTCTTTGTCTTTCATTTGATGCTCAAGTTTCTTCATTCAGCTTTTCTGTTCTTTTAAAGTTGTTCTCGTTTTTAAGTTAACTCAACTTTCCTTTTCCAACCAACATAATTTTTTTAAGCAGTTTTTTTTCCTTATTTCTGTCTCTGCCTGGATTAACTACACTGCCTGCAGGTTGGGTAATGCTGAAGCTATTGATAAAAATTCAAGTGTGCTCAAGTGTGTTTGGTAATATTTCTGTTTGTTACAGAAACGGCTAAAAAGAGTGAAAGCCCTTGCACAGTCCTCGTCAATTTCAAATGAGGAAAAGAGGGGTTTTGAACAATTCATGAGTGTGGATTACATGTCCTCAGAACATTAAGTATCTGAGGACAATACACATGGTGAAGAGGAAAGTTCTAGGGATGAAGATGCACCCAAAAGGAAAGTCCTGCGTAGGAGGCCTTTAATGTGGAGGAGTGAAAATTTAACCAGCCTTTTTTCTCGACTTGATCGCAAATACAAGAGAAGGCTGTCACAAAGAAGTGAGTCAATGATGATAAAGAGGAGGAATGGTCCCCCTTCAGAGCGAAAGGCACCAGATGATGCTCCTGAATTCGCTTTGTTATAAGGACATGGTAAGAACTTCCAAAGCATTCACAGACTAGTCATACCCCCTGTGGTTCTTCAAATACAGCCAACCTTCATTGCGTTCTTTTAGTGGCGCTGTTTTGTAGAAGAGAAATGTTTGTATTTTAGCCCCTAAAATTCCATACCTATGGTGTAGACTTGTTTAGAATCTTACTACGAGCTCTGATTGGTTGAAGCTTTGAAGAATCAGTCTTTCTTTTTAGGATTATGTATGCTTTAAAAGGGGTGTTTGAGTTTTGCTGGTGCCTCTTCACAGCTGATCCTGAACTGTTACAGCAATTGTCAGGGAAAAACAACACTTAAACAAGTCTATGTGCAGAACCTCATGACTACCCGGTTGATTAATAATTGAAGGGGTGAGTGCAAAACCATGCTAAGTGACGATTTGGGTGGAAAAAAAAATTTCGCGAAAGGGCTTGAATTTTTGCATGTGGTCTTCAATGTAATAGAAAAACGTGGTNGCTAAAATGCAGACAATAATTGAAACATGACAGTAGTGACAAAGAGCAAAGAGAGGCAGCAGTATATTTTTAGGCTAGATCAAACATGTATATACATCCATAACCACCAACAGTACAATGGCAAGGGTGGTGTTGAAATATGCATTGGAATACTTACAGCCGTGAAGTGCTGGTCTTTGTTTTTATGATCTTTTATCTTTCTTACAACAAGGAAAATACGAGGAGCTTCATCAAAGTATTAACCAAGACGATCCACCTTAACCATTTGCTTAGCAGGCCAAACATCAACCATGAGCAAAATTAACACACCTAAAGTAAACTTGTAAGGAATCTAAAAGATTTTAATATATTGAAATTATATTATTTTTTGATAATGAAAAGTTGTGATTCTTACATCTGCACAGGGTTACCTAAGTCACAACATCTTTCTCATGAAGATGGTCATTTTCCTGACATTCAGTATGTAGTTTGGTGCATTAGTGAAAGATGGATCTCCTAAGAATCACTGTTATTTCTGTTAATACTAATATAAATGTAGAGTTTTATGTTCATTGATAAAAAAATTCTCAAAACAGAGTGGTACTCAGCTTGCCTTAACTTGTGACATAATTAATAAACAATTACTTGAGTGTCCACTTGCAGTTGTCAATGATTGAAACTTGTTCAAAGAGGATATGTAAAATATTCACACATCAAATGAAGTATTGATTCTTGAGGTTTTCATATTGTTTTCAGAAGTAATGGAATATGACTTTGTCTCTTCCCACCTTAATTAGTGCATTAATAATTAATTTTTAGTGAAGTATATAGTTTCATAATGATTGTACTTTGCTTTTTACAGCTGAGTACAAATCACAGAAATGCTATTTATTTTTTCTTTCATGCTTCTTTTACTAGCTATCTAAATTAGTTGTTAAAATGCTATTGACTCAGTTATATTTAAAACAGATAATGAAGTGGTAGAAAAAATTAACCCTGGCCCTCCTAAGAAATTCCCTCCCCCACCCCCTCCCCCCTCAGAATTAAAATTTCTTTCTGTAAAATCGTAATCAACAAATAATAGTAAGCAAAAAGTTTGCTAAAAAATTCCATTTGAATAGTAATATCACAGGATTTCGTCTCCAAACAAACAGTTTAGTTTGAGTGAATACTTATATTGTCATGATGAAATTGGTCTAGGAGTGAAAGCTTTAAATAAGCCGTTTTTTGAGTACGTGTACTCCAAACCCAAAAGGCTTCTTTTTTGAAACAGGTTTAAGGCAACTCTGAGAAAGCCCAACTAGAATATCTATACTTCTTTGATGGGCTATTTATAGTTATCATCTGATTGACAATAGAGTAGAGACTGACTCATATAGTACATCATATATAGAGGATATTACACGTTGGCTCGAAGATATGAATTTTATGTTCGAGTGGCAAGAACAATATCGCACGAGTTCGCTTCGCTCACTCGTGAGATATTGTTCTNCTCTGATGGTGGGTCTTGTTGTTTGCCAGTTTTCCTTGACGACAGACATGGTTTCTGTTGTGAAATCCTTGCTTTGAAAACTGATCAAGGAAGTTTCAGTTTCGATCTCTCAAGTTACCTTGTCGTGTTCGTGATTAGACGGGTGTTAATATAGCCTGCGGTGGTTTAACAAAATTTGAATAGAAAATTACTTGGCTGGAATTTATCATGCAGATCTATTTTGCGTGACCTTGAGCACGGGGGTGGTGGTGGGGTGAACATTTGAAAATCGAACCTATAAAAACAACCAGCAGGAAAGGAGTAGAAGATAGATTTTTCTTTTATTCTTCTGGTTCAAGCTTTAATACGGGCATATTCAGCGTGTTGTTAAAGCAATAAATTCTGCAACCTCCCCTCAAGCATCAGACTTTACATTACTGAAAAAACCGTTCAGTTGAACGTAAACTTCAATTCTCTAATGCACATGGTGGTTCTTTTTGTTTGCCACTTTTCTCTGACTAGAGACATGGTTTTCGAAGTGATATTCGGTGTATTCAAGTGAGGACTGAACGTTTCTTTATCAACTCTGATCGTGAAATTAAAATATGTTTCAACCGTCAAGGGACAGGGAGCTAATTAGTCTTCTTCAAAGTCTCTCTGCCTTCCATGAGGGGAAAAGAAGGGAGAGCCTGGAAACCAGGTATACTTTATAGCTGTTCTTTGGGTCTTGCAGCGACTGCGAAGGAGACTAGAATCTAATTCATGACAATTGAGATTTAAATTTTACATTTAGTTTACGTTTAAAACATTTGGATTGTGGTTGGGCCACTTTCCATGCAAACATGCTCATATGCTAGGCAATGTTTCTCATATGCTAGGCAATGTTTCTCATAGCTATCTCCCATGTAATCACATTCTTGTTGCGTTCGTCATGCAATTTTTCTAGTACCCTTGAGAAATGTGGGCCTAGTCTAAAGAGTCACGCAAGGTCTGGCAGAGTGACTTAGTGACTGATCGGTATTCTTCTGTTTTTGCTTTGTCCTGAGTTCCCTTCCCTGGTTTTGCTTGCACGAAATCCGTGTTTAGTGACAAAACTATCAAAGCAGACGCACAATCACAGTCTAAACTAAAACCACAGTAGTACGGCCCTCCTCTGGTTTAAAGTCCTCCTTTTAACTGACACAGCGTTAAGTGCCCTTCAGAAACAAGTGTAAAAAGAGATCGAAATTCAAAACAAAATAAAGTAAATAAATAAAAGATTTAATTTAACCCAAGATCAAACATTTCTTAGCAAAATATTCAAAGATCGTTCCCTCTATTTGCCATACTGAAGGGGAAGTTCCCTGAAAGGTACACTCGCTCGAGCAAAGCTCTAAATTGGCTGGCTAATTATGCGTAGATAAGAGTCGTGTTAATCTGTCACCCCATTGTTATTAACATCGATAACCCAGTCAAGTGAATACTGACTAGAATCTTCGTGAATTTATTATACATTCATTCAGCTACAAGCTAAGAAGTATACAAAAGTAAATTTAACTCATCGTATGTTGAGTCACAGTTAGTGCCCGGGGTTAGCGCACTGTGAGTAAAGAGTCCCTCTACATCTTAGTCTTGCATTCGTCATACACCCCCGCCTCCCTGAGGAGTCATGACTTCTCCCAAGGTTTTGTGCGCCAGGCTTGAAGTTGCGACTGGAGGACTGGGATAAGTCTTATGGAGAAAGACAATAATAGCACAAAACGCGAGGCATTGAGTCTTAGAATCGAAGTTCAAAACTATACGCTATTGTCTTACTATTGAGCCATCAAATTTGCTTAATCCAAGTGCCAGTTGCACAAGTGCCGATTAACGTTTATTGGTTGGGATTAGAACTGAATTGGGGTTTTGAACAAATTTCTGTTCTATTGGGAGTCTTATGTTAGTTAAAGTCGCATTTTAAGGGCAACTGATATAAACAGCAAAACGCACGAAATGTTAAAAAATGTTACAAAAAGGAAATCAAAATTCGCGATAATACTTAATCAGTGTTTTAAATAATTAGGCATTTTATTAATTTTTAATTATTCTTTATTCAGAGGCCACCGGTTCATTAGTTGAACAAACTATTATACGCTAACCTCGGGCCTTTATCGTCAAGATAAATGATATAAAACTAAGATGCTAAATAGAAAACGCTACCGTGTGGGAAAAGAAGGTAAAGCGTCCTAAGTCGATGCAATATGCGTGGAAAATACAACAAAAGGTTTGCTAGAGAATTTTAGCCGCATGATGTACAAATTATCTCTTAAAATTTCTTCACAACTACTTCAACGAAAAATGTACAACCGTTTGTTTTAGGATGTCAAAAAAACACACCTTTTTGAATTCAAAAATCCGGTTAGCATACAATGTCGAGAGAGAAATATAACAAGAAAAAAATGATCTCTGTAGTATTATACTAAGACACAACCACGTAAGGGAGTCACTACCAGCTAGGTGCCGAAGTACCAAACTGAGGAAAGTCTCACTGCTCACTTTGCAAATTGCTACTGTCATGATATATAAACAATAGCCTCCATTTGGCGCGGAAATATGCCCGGATATTTGTTCCGCAGATATTATCTGTTTTGAGAAGTGAACATTTTCCCGAGAGCGTAGCTTGAGGAAAATTGTGAGTCTCGAGGAACAGATAATGTCCAAGGACAAATATCGGAGCATATTTTCGCGCCAAATGGAGGCTTTTGTGTTTATTATCCTTCAAATAGGTTTCGCAACACGCGTGGTTTTGAAATTTGGGGAATATCACCTGGATGTTCCCCAGTTTTAGCTGGGGACTCTTCAGTCACGTGATCCGTTTAGACCAATCGCACGCTAGCGAAAATATTTAATGGCTTATAAGTTTGGACAGGAGCCCATCACCTGGTTTGGATATCAAGTCGCTGAAAAACTGATCGTACCTTACGTTTCGGCAGCATATCAGGTTTGTTTGGATTAGAAATAATTAGTGCATTTACTGGGTGTCACTTTGGAATAAAGTAAGCTAAATCAGATCATGTAAACTGCAACAATTTCGAAAGAAATCAATATATTAATTGATTATCCATTAATTATTTACCTACCAACAATTAATTTGTTTATTTTTTAAAAATCAATTAGCTATTCCACTAAGCGATTTTCGAATTAAATCGATATATTAATTGATTATCTATTAATTATTTAAAAATCAATTCGTTATTCAACTAAGCGATTTTCCAATTAAATCAATATATTAATTGCTTATCTACTAATTATTTATTGATTATCTACTAATTAATTAAAAATCAATTGATTTGCTTATTTTTTAAAAAAAATTCAATTAGTCATTCCACTAAGCGCAGGAATATCATTGCCAGCCTTAAACTCCCGTTTTGATAGAATTTCAGTGACGGAACATCTCAAATTAAATAAGAGATTCCGATCACTATCATCAACAAAAAAAAAGTATAAGCGGTAAACGTTATGTTACTTTAATAGTAACTTTGGTGAGCTCAGCATGACTGTTGCCTGAAAATTGTCCTAGCTTTCACGACATATTACATACTAAAACAAATCTCCTTTCACCCTATCTAAGACGGGACAACCTACTTACTAACAAACAGATCATTTACAGATCTTCAAATGCCTTAAAATCCCGCGGCCCAGGAACGCTTTCTAGGGTCTGCTTTGCCGTAAAGTTTCCCATCAGGATTTGTGGCTGCAGCCTGCACGACTGCGTAACCGGTTTTGTTCCTGACCTCGTGCCCAAGCCTCTGTAGGCCTTCTTGGATGGCGAGGGACATGGGATAATCTTCGTCAATACGAATGTACATCGGAAGTAACTGATGATGGAGCCTGGGGTCAACGACAGATTGTGACAGAGTTTGGTTGAACCAGAGGTAATTCATCACAACCTAAATCAGTGTAAAATATATAGATACAGGTATATTGTCAGGTGCAATCTAGAGAAAAAGGCATAATAATGAGTATATTTGTATCTGAGAAGGATTTTCGGTTTAATAGAAAGAACAAGTCGAGCAACGGAAGGCATTCGTGTTTTAAAAGTTGTTACAAGACTTATAATTGCACTGGAGTCAAATCACAACTTCGTTTGTGTGTTACACTTTTCTGTGCTTCTGCTATACATGAAAGCTTCCCTCCGAAGGCAATCAGAATTTCGTATTTTCAAGAGCATAATCACAATTTTGATTCAACGTGTATCTTGTGCTCATATCTTCTCGCTTCTCCGAAGATAATATCATGGGTGGCAATTTACTCCTTAATTTTGGCGCGAAACTAAAGCTTGATTCATTACCCATGATACTACTCGTGAAATTAGGAAATATTTTCACTGGTCACCATTTGATAACGCGTGTGAACATCAAGTAAAATTGCTTATTTTTTCCGTGATCACGTTCTTACTACACCATCTTGTTTCAATTCATAGATTACCCCGTTACTTTGAACGCGATGGTGTACGATAGCTAACGTTTTGTACAATTCTTCTAAAACTTGAAACGTCCTCTGATTAAACAAGAAACAAGAAAAATTTGATAGCTAACCATACAGAAAGAATTCTGTATCTAAGGAGAGCAATGAAAAAAACATTCGTTGTCTTATTCTCCTAACGATCAAAGTCTTGTTAGAAATTGCAATCTCGTATCTCGAGTCTTCGTTCCTTACTGCTCATGCTGGCTTGACGCTCGTTTTCCGACCGCTGGTCAGTGGGAACGAGGACACTGGGTACGAGGGAGAGAAAACATCAAATAAAATAAAACACAAAACCTCACCAGGGATATGGCAGTTGTTATCTTCGTGCCACCCGACGCCCCAACCACTAAACGAGGAACCCCTTCTTTGTCCAGAAATATGGTAGGGGACATTGAAGACATGGGTCGTTTAAAAGCCTCAATAAAGTTACTCTCCGAGGGCTCCACGCCAAAAGCGTTCTTTTTACCCGGAGTGGAGAAGTCGTCCATTTCGTTGTTATAAATTATACCAGTACGCGTAGAGCGATACTTTGAGCCAAAGCTGAAAGTTAACACAAAAATGTAAAATTACTACGAGAAGACAATAGTAATTCGGAATAAA